GTCCCTGTTCATAATACTTCGAGTATTATAATACTCATAGTACTCATAATACTTTGAGTATCATAATACTCAAATAAATTTTGAGGTGACAGGAGATTGGCAAGAGCCACCTGCTCCCTCCCTGTAAAGATAATTCCTGTGTCAAAAAAGGGGCAGCAAAGCTTTCAAATATATATATATTTTGGTTTGGATTTACTGAGTTTACTTCTAAGATTTTATGGAAATTCTACAAAATTGAATATGAAATTTTAACGTAGACTTGATGTAGAGAGAATGTCTGCTGTTCTATTCCCTGTACAGAAGCTGGTGTTTTTTAAAAACTTTTTTGCCCTGGACTGTCTTTTTTTTTTTTTGGAACAGAGTTTCATGATGTGACTCTCAGTAGAGTGCTGTGGTGTCATAGCTCACAGCGACCTCAAACTCTTGGCCTTAAGCGATTCTCTTGCCTCAGCCTCCCAAGTAGCTGGGACTGCAGGCACCCACCAAAACACCCGGCTATTTTTGGTTGCAGTTGCCATTGTTGTTAGCAGGCCAGGACTGGTTTCGAACCTGCCAACCTCAGGGTATGTGGCCAGCACCCTGCCTACTGGGCTATAGACGCCACCCTCCTTGGTCTGTTTAAGTCAGTTACATCATAGCACTCTCTGGATAATCTGATGAGAGCCAGTTTTGGAACTAAATGGGGGCTGAAACTTCAGATTTTCATTGTTTTTTTTTGTTTGTTTGTTTACAGGGTTATTTAATTTCTAAACTAGAAAAACACAAGTATTGTCCATATCCTGTTGACGTTTTGATTTCTTTTTTTTGCTCTAGTATTTTATGCATCAACTTAAATACATTTCAAGTAAAAATGCAACCCCTTGGTTTATAATTTCTCATCATATTATTTTTGCTTATTAATATTTCATGAGCATGTGTATGTAATTTAATTGCTTAATTAAATTACACCAATAAATTAATTACATTTACATAAAAAATTAAAACAAAGTTTAATTACATAAACATTTAATTAATTGTTTTTATCATGTGACATTGAGTGACAGTCATATACAATTACTAATAGCTACTCAAATATGCTCATGTCATTTAATTTATTCAGCTAATCCCAAATTTTGAAAATGTCGCTTTCTGACATGTTAGAATCATGATGAATTACGAAGTAAATTTAAGTCAACTTAGGCGCTTTGCTTTTGATTCTGCAAGGAAATTTCCAGGGTGCAAATTGTCTAGGTCAACGTGCGTGGCGGTGCTTATTCCTTGCTTTTGATGTAGTTTTTAAATGGCCCTTATCTTACAGTTAGTGTGTGCAAATCTTCCCATCATCTCAGCAGTGGTGATCACCTGCAAAGCTTTTGCCACAGATTATATAAAATAATACTAATCCTTTGCAGTTTCATTAGTTGTGAATTTAAAAGAAAAAAATAGTACATCAGCTGACTATTTAGTCAATTAAAAAATTTTTTTTGAAAATTTTTAATTTATTTTTTTTGGCTGGGAGCCGGGTTTGAACCCACCACCTCCAGTATATGGGGGTCACCTTACTCCTTGAGCCACAGGTGCCACCTAAAAAGATTTTTTAAAATAGTACATCAATACACCTTTGTGCTTTATTCTGATATTCTCATAGTTTCTTATTGATTTATAAGCCTGCATTTACTGGCTAATCATTGCCAGCCACTAATTATGAAGTTTTTCTGTACTATTTTTGCCCCTTAATATTCATTACGGTATTATTTGGTGAGCAAGACTTTAAAGTATTTTTGGTTTTATTGTGTCTTTTATGCATGTCTGAGGTTTCTGCTTTCTTTTTATTTTGTGTGTGTGTGTTGTTTTGTTTTGTTTTATTTTCCTTTTAACTTCAGAATCATTTTCTCATCATCCCTCCTGGGGATATAAAAACATAAACCCTTTTTTTAATTTTCAGTTGAATTGTTTACAACTGTAAGTTGATTTATGGAGTGCTAACAGGCTTGCAGAATTGAGTTTTTTCCCTTGGGATTTGATTCATCTATTGATCTTTTTCTTTTCTTGCTGAGATTTTTCTTTCTACGTCCCTAAATATATTTTTGAAGCATTCTCACCTCTTTTTAAGTTTGCTTCTCTGAATATGAGTGAACTTTTTTGTGTTCACTGTTTTTCTGTAATCTACGGGGACTTCTGTACACGTTTTCCTGACTATTCATTTAAGGATAAATTTCTATTAAATTTCAGTTGCTTTCATTTCATTTCATGACTTACCTTTTCAAAGGAAACATTCATATTATTTGCAAATGAGTTTTTAAAATTTTTCCCTTTTCATGTGTATGGTGTCTTTAGAATTTTATTGGACTTAGTTTTTATTTTTATTAGAAAGCCCAGGACAGCTTCAAACAGGCATGAAGAAAACAGACATTTTCCAGTCCTGACTTTTGGGCAACTAACATACTGCCTTTAAAATTTAAAAAAAAGGTAGCTCTAGTTCAAGAAGCATTTCAGTGTTCTCATTTTTTTTTCTTTTCCTAAACAGGATTAAATATTAAGTTTTAGTAGG